CCGCTCCCGCACCGCCCCGTGGGCTGTTTCTATCCACTCAGCGCCGCGACATGGATCCCGCCACGCACTGCTCCCTGCGTCTCCAGCCTCCTTGGGGTCACTTCCTTTTCCCAAAGGCCGTCTGCTGTGGGCCGCCTGGTCCGGAGTTAGTCTGAACACGGCCGCGTTCAGGCCCGGGGAGCACCCCCTCTCGGGACAGGGCTTGATGCTGCGACTGCTCCTTGCGTGCGTCACCTTCTGGCTCCCTCGCTGCTGGCGAGGCATCGGCCAGGTTCTCCCTGCCGTGCCCCGCAGCAGTCGCACTCTCTCTGAGCGTGTCTGGGGTCTGATTCTGGACTCTGGCGTTAGGTAATTCTATGTTGCTACGTCTGAGACGGATTCCTCCTGGTTTGTCCTGCTGGGATTTCTGAACGTGAGGATTGGCTTCTCTTATTAACTTTGGAAAATCCTCTGGGTGTGTCTCTTGGAACTTTGCTCTCTGTTTTGTGCTCTCCTTCCAGGGCTCCAGCCGCATGCGCGCTGCTCCCTCTCTGTCCTGTGTCGGTGTTTCTCAGACTTGCTGGTGCAAACACGTCGCCAAGGGCTGCTGAACAACGCACAGTGTGATTCTGAGCAGGGCAGGTGGGCAGACGGGCACGTGAGGGCCACGGGGAGCCGCTCTGTGTGTCTGACCTGAGGGGAGGGGTCCAGAGAAAAGAAAGATTTACCCCAAGCCCGTGGCGAGGGCTGAGGAGCGGCTGCGGCAGCCCCGCTCTGCAACAGGCAGCGGGTGGCGAGGCTTGCCCGCGCCGCCCCCACTCCCAGCGCAGGATCTTGGGAAGCAAAAGGCTTCGGCACCAGAGGCCAGGCCCATCCACTGGTGCCTGTGGGCCGTGGTTCTGGCTCCTCTTTCCACGTCATTGCCACCACCGAGAGGGGCATCTCACACCCTCCCCATGCGTTCTGCAGGAGACCGAAAAGCGGGAGGGGAAGGCGCCCACCACAATCTGCTCAAATCTCTGCAACGTGCGCGATGACCACAGAGCCTACACTTGCTCCTCACGTGTCCCCAGAGAAGAGTGCACCACCCATAGGTCCCTGTGGTTGCACAGCTAGGATGAAGGGACACTTTCAATGCGATTTCTGTCATTGTGACACACGCTTGTTCAATTTCCCCACGATTTATTCACTAAAGAACGAACTTCTCAGCAGACACCGGTGCCCATCTCACTCCCCGCACAACCTACCGCCAACGCCTGGTGACGGAGGAGGGTGGCCTCGTCCCACACCCTGACTCAGCCCCAGCCTACTTCCCGCCCAGGCTTCCACTCCCGCATCTGCACAGCGGGCTGCCGCCCCGAGGCTGCTCTGCAGGGTGGTGCAGGGCCCGGGTGGCACGTTCTCGGTCAGCGCCAACGTGTTCTCTCTTCCTGCTCTCAGCACCCCTTTGCATGACGGGGTGTTGCCTAAGGGAGGCGAACTCTGCAAACTAGAAATAAAGATTCCCGTGAAGAAGGGTATTTTTCAAGTTCACTAATTTCTTCCAGGAAAAAGCAATTCCTTCCTGGTGTCACTGTCCCACCGTAACCACAAGGACAGCAAAACGGGAGGAGAGAATCGAGCTGTCCGTTGGATCCTCAGTGTGTTGTCCGGCTTCACCAGCCCCTGCGCCCGCCCTGTCCCCATTTGCTGCTGTTTCTCTTTCTCAGCTCCAAGACCGCAGCGACCTGACGCTGGCAGGACACGCAAAGGTGCGGGACGGTTTCCACAGCGACGAGTGGCTGCCCGGAGCGCTGGCCCAGACTGGACTGAAGATGACCCGACACGCCCATCCACCCCTCCAGAGTCCCCCCGCTGCGGGCTGGGGCGCGGCCTCTGCCACGCACCTGGGCTCTCCGAGCACCGTGAGCTGCCGGGAGGCTCTGGGGAGAGCAGGGAGGGCGACGCGGGAGACGGGGAGGCTGGCAGTGCCGGAGGTGCTCAAACAGGAGTGAACTAAAAACACGCACACTTCGGTTTTCGATAAGGAAATACTTAGATCTAAGGAACACATTCCTTACCATCTCCGCGTCCGACGTGGGGCCCACAAGTCCGGTACGAGGTCGAGCTCAGAGGCGGCTGCAGTATACACGTCAGCCACTCCGGCTGAAATGAACTTTGTCTTCAATTACATTGTGAAATGATATTATTTATAATTGTTATATTTGTGTTCTAAGAAATTGAAGCTTTAAAAATTCCTGCTAAGTACTAAGCTCAGATAGAAATTGCCCTCCGGGCCATCATCACCTGTGTCACCGAACAGTATTTTATTTTTGTTTTCAACGGATCACCTAAGTGACTAGCCAAGCTTCAATTTTACGTGCCTGCTAGAAAATCCCTCACGGAAGCTTCCACTCTTCTGTTGCTGACGGCTGCTCACCAAGCCCCACGGTACTGACAGAGAAAACAGCACGTTTTCACAGCCAATGCACGACAAACTGCCACGTGGCCTGGGCCACGCCTGCCGCTATGACAAAATACCTCAGATGAGGTAATTTGTAAACAGCACAAATTTATTGCTCACAGCTATGGAGCCTGGAAGTCTGAGATCAAAGTGCCAGGCGTTCTGGTCCTAGGACGGCCGGGTTTTACTTCCCAGAGGCGCTGTGAGCGCCGTGTCCTCATGTGGTGGGAGGGTGCAGGGCATGTGGGCCTGGAAGCCCCTTTCCCGGGGGCGCTGAGCCCAGGCACGGCCGCGCACCCCCGGAGGCCCCACCTCCTCACACCTCACCTTGGCACTAGGTTCCAGCATATGGATTTTGGAGGGACAGAAACATTCCAAGTATTTTAAATCTCTACCATATGCAAGGAGGCGATTATATAACAGTTATATGTTAGTTTAAACCAATCTGAAACAAATAATCTGTAAAACACCCGTTTATAAGAGATGCTAAGAAAGTTACATGGGAAAGAGATAAACAACCAATTAATACAAAATCAATCGATCAACCAAACCAATCAAAATCTCTCTCTCACACTCGTGTGCACACCCACAGCCTGGGGGATTTCAGACCAGCGACTCCAGCGTCCGCCCCGCAAAGGCCTCAGTGGGAGCTGCAGGCCCCTTGGCCACAGAACCACAGGAGACCTGCGGGTGTTCACCGAAGGGCCCTGCAGTTCTGAACATCCGACTTTAGAACTGTTGTCTGGGGCAAAGATAAACATGAGCCCAGTCAGTTAAACTGCCCCTGGCCAAGGATGCCGCACACTGCATTTCCTTTGGGTTCCAGAGCTTGACAAAACCCGAGTGACCAGGCTTTCAAACCTGCTTTTGCACACACACGTGCATTTCTACATGTGCCAGCAGCCCTGCACCCAGCACCCAATGAAAACTGGGCCACTCCGGAAACTGGGCCTCTGACCCCACTGGGCTTCCGTTTTGATTTTCTCTCACTCGGGATGTTCTGCTGGGAGGCGTCACACCCACCCATGCGCAGCGCCCTGAACGCATGCACGCACACGCCTGGCACCGTCCACTAGGCTCAGACTGAGTGAAGCCCTAACAGCACGCTCTGGCCGGGGGGCCGTGCAGGTGTGAGGTGGCCACAGCCTGGACTTCCTGCGGGGACACTTGGGGACGTGTCCACAGTTGATCACCGAGGACGAGGCATTGCTGATTAGAGAACGGCAGAGTCACCACGGGACCAAACCCAGGAACGTTAAGCCTGCCTCTGGGGGCAGGGGGGGAAGGACTTTTCTTTATCTAGGTTCCCTATCATTTGAGTCATGTGTTGCTTTATGAGAAATTTTTTAAAAAAGAAGAACCATCGGTATTTGCTTTCAGCTCAATAGAAATGTTCCTGCAGTGACAGTGAATCGAATCTCTATATTTCAAACCTTATTCATGTTAGTTAACTTCTAAAACTCTCCCCTGACCTGCCTTCACATCTTATTCAGACGAACGTCTCTTTTCTGCTGAACCAAAAGCAGCAGGGTTTGCAGAAGGCCCCGGAGCATGCGGGCCAGCCCGCGGCCGCCGCCTGTCTGGTGCCGCAGAGCAGCGCGCACGGAAACGCGTCATGAGGAGCAGCTGCTGAGCGGGGCCGACACGCACGACGGCCCAGAGAAGAGAAACAGCCCCCGGAACGGCCACCAGGTTTGCTCCCCCTGCCGCAGCACTCGGTGGCTTCCGGGCCTGGCGTCTCTGTCTGTCCCCTCCTTACTCTTGCCGCTCTTCCCAGCACCGACCAGTGCAGACCCCGCGACTCAGTGGACCCAAAGCCCTCTCGGGAACAGCCCTTCATCTCTTGGCCCCTTGGCCACAGGCCTCCGGACACGGGCTGGACGTGGGCCAAGAGGCATCTAGGATTTTGCTCCTTGAAGTCCTTTCACGGAGTCTCCGTCCTCTGCACTGAGGCTGCATCCAGACGGTGACACCCTCAGGAGGTGGATGTCTGGGGCCCACCCAGCCCCTCGAGGCCTCTCCCTGGCTCTGGGATGGAAACGAAGGCCTGTCCCATGTGCTTTCGCCAGCTGGGCTCTCTGTACACGGATGGCCCTGCGTGCCAACCAGGCTCTGAAAGGGGAGAGTTCGGCCTCACTAGGCACTTACGTGTCCTTCCCAAGGTCTCTCTGAAGACCTTCTGATACCATCGCCGGCTTCGTGGGTGCACGCCAACACCGTGCCAGCCCCCGCCCACGGAGGGTGGACACGCACCCTCGCCACCCTGTCACGTGGCTCCTGCACAGGCCAGGAGCTGTTCTACAGTTACCATCTGGGCCCCGTGTGGGAGGCAAGCCCTGGACCACAGCAAACAATCGAAACAATTTGACATCAGGCCAAGTCCTCAACACAAGCAGAGTTAGTGCTAAGAGGTTAAAAGGTTATTCCAGGTCATATGGATACGACACAGGTCAGGAACACTGAGAACGGATTAATATTATTGTGTAATATTAATGTTGGTAGCAATGAACAGCGGCATGCAGGAAGGTGGGTGATAACGAGAAAGTAGGGGTGAAGGGGAGACACAGTGCACACTCACATCCGGGTGGGGGATGGCGTACTGTCCCTGGATGGTGTAGGCCTGCAGAGAGAGAGACACGCGTCAGCCCACCGCCCAGCGCTGTGGCCCTTCCCCGCCGGCTGCCCTCCCTGCATCTCCACCTGCCCCACTTGCGGACCGAGGGCCAGCCCTCCAAGGGTAGCCACGGGACCCTCCAGGGGTAGCCATGGGACCCGCGGCCCAGGCAGGGGGCAGGGATGACGCAGCCCCGGCACTTTCCGCTCTCACTCCCCTGCACTTCTTGAAAGCAGGACATCTAAGAATTAAGAATGATCCGTCTGACCTCCAAGGAAGAGGTCCACTAATTACTAACCTTTTGGAAATTTAATCAACCATCCGAGTAAATATTTTTGGGAAATATTTACCCCGAGAAACCCAAACAAAGACAGAAAGCTTTAAAAGATGACCAAAACCAACGTTGCAAATGCCAGATTGAGCAGGAAATGGATCTAAATCCACCTCAGGACTGACCCAACTCATCACTGTTCACGTGAAATCTCCAGTGGGCAGCCCCTGGGCCAGGGGTGGGGGGGCGGCTGCTGTGACTGGGGATAGGCTCACGGCACCCCCAGAGGGCTCAAGCAGGTTTCATTGTTTCCTTTGCCTTTGAACAGTGGCTCCGACCACTGGCAGCCTCTTCCCGCCGACCCTCGCTCTGCACCCTGGAGGGTGGGGTGGCCCCCACCTGCCTCGATGGGCCCATCGCTAAGACACCTCGGTGACTCAAATTCACGGCCAACAACCAATGAACCACACGGAGTCGAGGGAGAGTTAAGACCACAGACAAGCTGTCAGGACTTGGTGACACGGAAGCTGCCATGCTAGGCCTGGTGGTGGCATGGGTGTGGAGGGATGTGGCCTCCAGCCCCTGGCCATGCCTGGCCCCACGCCCACTTCCTGTGGGACCTGAGGCATCCACCGTGTCCCTGTATGGGTCCCCATGCACCCCACAGGGATACCTCGGGGAAGGCCACGTGTCCCCTCTGTGGACCCCAAACCCTCCCACAGGTTTTGAATCTGCCAGGAGTTTTCGTCACAAACAACTCAGCCTGGCAGTTAAAGGCCAAGCGACCCCCAGACAGGGATCTGGCTGCAGCCCAGCTTCAAGCAGACCCGACCCCAGCGGAGGGAGGCCCCGGCCTGGGAAGCAGAAGCATCTTATCAGACACGGCCGCGCCCTAGGCACGGAGAGCTGTGAGCTCGCGGCCTGCACGAAGCTGTGGAGAGCCCTGTTCAGGCCCAAAGTGTCACACAACGTGAGGCCCCGGGGCTGTGACGCTCGGGGCTGCTGTCCTCTCAGCCCCCACGTGTCTGGCTGAACTGCAGGGCACAAGGAATTCTTTGTCCTAGACCCCTTAATTTCCTGATTTGTCTTTTTATTCGCGTCATGTGATGACGTTTTGTGTCGGCTCGCTCCTTGGCAGGCTCTGCCTGAAGGAACCGTCATCGGCTGACCCCGCCACGCCAGAAACTCTGCGGCGCCCCCAGCGGCAGGCGTCCTCTCATCCTGACCAGTTTGGCAGTAGTGGCCTGGGCCGATTCTCAGCCACCGCTCTGCGGCTGTGCTTTGTCCCCCAGAGCTGGCATGTGGGGGCTGAGTCCCAGGGGCCGGAGGGCATCTCCTCAGCTCTCACTCACACCCGCTTCTGAGGTCCTGTCCTGGCAAAGTCCTGCTCCTGGCAACCTGAGTGCAGAAGTGACTCCCAGGTGCCACTGTCCCCTGTCCACCACCGAGGCTGAGTCCTGGCCAGGCCAGACCGTGCCAGGGCAGTTGGGCTGTGCTCTAGAAAGGCTGACATCTTAGCGACAGCCTCGGGCGTAGCGACCCTCGGCCGCAGTAAAGCAGAGAGGCGCGTGCTGCCGCCCACGCCGCAGGTGGAGAGGCGAGCCCAGCTGCGGCCCGGGCACTGGCCAGAGCGGGACCACATTTGACCATATTAATACACCTTCCTTTTGAATAAAAGTACACATTTTACCGCAGATACTGTCATGGTTTGTTTAAACGTTAAGGTGGAGTCCACACAGGCTACTAACCCGCTAACCAGCCACGAACTTCGGGGGAGGCACTGAGACGGAGTTCTGAGCCAGGACTCGCTGCTGCGGGACCTGTGGCCCCACGTCCCTGGTCAGTGAGGCCCGGGGCCGGCCCCTCAGGAGGGACACACAGGTCCCTGTCTCTCTGGGCCACTTCCTGACCTGTGAGGGGGGACGAACCCTGCCCCAGGGCGGCCCTGGCAACAGGCTGTGCACTCGAGGGCTCCTTGCCAGGGCAGGACAGGCCCGGGTGTGAGGGGCTGGGGGGACGCGCGGCCGGAGCGGCGGACCAGGCCTGTCCTGCCCCGCGCAGGCTGCGTGCGAGGCGCCATGCTCCTCTCGGTGGACACACCGGGGACGCTGCCTAGTGCAGATCTGGTAAGATTCCTTTACCTCATAGAGAAATCATGCGAAAAGTGGTATTTGCCTTTTTTCTTTCTTGTTAAATGTCAAAGTAACACCTCGGGCCATTCTCTCCTGGCTGGGGTCACCCGTGGGGAAGTCTGAGTCTCAACTCTCCCTCGAGCAAAGACACACATCGCGACCGACTGGACACAGAGCTCTTCCAGGCCACCCCCGGCTGGCAATTTCAAAGTCCGTGGACTGTGGGTGCCACAGTGACCCGGGGGGCACGAGAGAGGGAGCTGGGCAGGGTCTCGTGCCTCTGCTCCCCCCGAGGCTCTGCCAGGCTGGCACCGCAGACGTGGGCGCTGTGCGCGCAGGGGAGGAGGTCCTGGCCACAGCGGGGCGGACGCCCACCCGCCAGGCCGCTCTTCCCTCTCTCGTGTCACACAGGGGATGCACTGGGGTTTGGGAACGCGCACTGCAGGAGAAACGGGACCCCAGCTCTCACGGTCCTAGCTGCCTCCAACACCGGATGCGCCTGCCCTCTGCCTATATGCTTCCTAAAAGCACCCAAGAACTGGTGTCCCCTGGGCAGATCCAGGTGTGACCCTGGCCCCAGGGTCCCTCCTGCTGGGCCAGGGAGCCCCTGGGAGAAGGCGAGTCTGCAGGGCCTCTGTCCCGCCCGGAGCCGGGTGTCGGCGGGAGAGCTCTGTGTCCAGCGCGGGTGGGACACGTGCACGTGAGAAGGCGAGAAAACCTGAGTGCACTAACGGGCAGCGGCGGGTGCTGCAGTAAAAGGCTGAGGTTGGCAGTGGAGGCCGCGAGCGGGTCGGCTCTTACCTGACCACCTGCAAAAATGACAGGGGTGGAGGCGGGCTTTGGGCGGTAGGGAATGGTGGCACCTTTCGGTGGGGACTAGGAAAAGGGACAGGAGAGGGAGAGAGAGCGTTAGAGCAGCTCCACAGCACGGAGGGGAGGCCCTTCCCCAGCCCCCACCCTCCCAGAGCCCCAGCAACGGCAGCAGCACCGGGTGGGGTGGAATCCCGCGTCCGCGCTGCCTGTCCCCTCCGCACGGGCTCCTTCTCACCAAGCCCCTGGGCGGCCCCTCCTGTGAGTGACCACCCGGACCACCCGCCCTAAACACGCCCCTGGGGCCGGCCAAGGCAGGACGCAGAGGCTCCAGGCAGCGTGGGGTCCTGGGGGTCAGTCCTGTGGAGAGAGGCGGCGTGGGTGGTCGCCTGCAAGCAGGACCCTGTTGTGGAAGGGCTGGCTGCCGCCAGACAAGCCCCTTCCTCTGCGCACGGCCCCGCAAGGCCGGGCCACTCCTGCTTCGCCGGCGGGACAGAGAAACCCGTGTCCCTCAGGAAAAGCCGGGCCTCGCACACAACTCCTGTGAGTGCCCAATGCCCCAAGGGTCAGGAGAGATCGTCACGGGAAACTGAGAAACATCCAGTTTCACGATTTAAACTTGGACTCCAAAGGAAACATCCCATAGTCATGAGGAGGTTTGCTGTACTTTCCCTCGGTTATTCTACATCCAAAATACAGGATTAATGTTCTCAGGACGGGCCCTTCCCTGGTCCCTGTGTGGCCGTGAGCCGTCGTCCAGGGCCGGCCGCGGATGGGGAGTTGGGAGTCCTGGCCTGGGGGGCCCAGCTGGAGCTGCGGAGAGCGGCGGGGCCGTGAGGTGCGGCCCACGGCGTAGCTTGTCCCTCAGAAGGGTCCTGGAGACGCGGGCGCTGCCCACATGCAAACGTGCAGTGCTGGGGGAGGCTCGGCCTCTGCGGTCACACGCCGCAGCCTTACCCTGAGTGGGGCAGGGGCTGCTGAGCGGGTCTGAGCTGACCCAGGCTGGGTCTGGAGTGACGCCGGCTCCCAGGGGCCCGTGTTCAGGATTTCTGCAGTTAAGGTGTCTCTGGGCAAACGGGCTCACGGTGCCTCAGGGGCTGTCGTGGAAAGAGTGTGACTGAACTGAGTGGCCACGAGCTGGCGTTGTCCTCGCACCAGCTGCCAACCAGCTGCAGCCTCCCAGACACTGGGCTCCGGGAGACCCAACGTGGTGCATGAGGCGACTCTGGCTGTGGGTCCCGGCTTCTGTTCTCCCCCGACGTGCCCTGGGCAGGGGCCCCGTCTCTCCCTGGGGCTGCACGGGCCACTCTGCGCTGGGAACTGGCCCTGGGAGCATCTCCTGCGTCAGGCAGGGCGGCTGTCTGTGGTGATGCGTGTGTCTTCCGCGAGCCCCGCCCAGACCCATTTGCGCCATGGGCCTCCCTTTCTTCCATAATTTCGTGGGGTGAGGCTGAGACACACCCCGTAAACCTAGCCCCAAAGTCCTCTGATCGACGAGGAGAGTTTTTAAAGCATTTTTTGCTTTATTTTTCCAGTTACTCTTCATTTAAAAATGGAGCCAATTGTTTCCTGGTGTGATGAATCTTCCTCCCCTGGTGAGCAGGGCCTCCCCGGACTCTGAGGGCAGCGCAGCACCAGCCAGGCCGACCGGCTCACACATCTCACGGCAACCTCGCCATCGGAGCGAGACAAGGCGGTTCCGACGGCAGCCCTGGGCACTGGTGTCCCACAGCCCTCGGGGTCCCCCTGCTCCTGTGGGCAGCAGCCCCGCGTTGGCACTGACGAGACCACAGGTTTTGCCCTGAGGAGCTGGCCTCACCCCATCGGGGACACAGCAGGCCGCGTCCCTTGCAGAGCTGGTCGTGTTACTAACCACCAAGCGGAGCGCCTGCCGCCTCCGTGCAGAAAGGAGCGCGCTCCCCGCCCCGCCGCGTGCTGGGGCCTCCTCCCCATCGCAGCCCCCGGGTCCCAGACAGGGCAGAGGGAGCGGAGAGCTGGGAGGAGCACCGCCCTGTCTCCCCGACCGACCGCGGTGTGGGGAAGATTTCAGAACAAGACAGTTTTGAAAGGGATTTTTGACTTCGCAAAATATCACACTTCAGGAAAACAAAAACTATGCAAAAATTTTTAAAGAGTTGAAAAGGGTTTTAGCACCAAGCCAAGTGCAAGGGAGGGATGAGGGACAGTGGCCTTGGGAGGCAGGGAGCACAGCAGAGCTGCTGGAACCTTCCGTCTGAGGCAGGACTACTTCATTTTAGCTTCAGGAGAGACCAGCAACTATGACAGCTTCATGAATTTGGGATATTGACAGAAATTCAAATTTCAGGGTTCTTTTCTTCCCCCCAAAATTTCAAGAGAAGCTTTTCCTGCCCAGCGGCACCTTCTTTGCATCTCTGTTTTAATCCTTTTGCTCATTTATCTCCATTTTTACATATTGGACATTTTCATGAGTTTTCCCTAAGTTCTGCCCTTCATACCTCCCTAGCGGTGTGACGCTGCCTTCTGCAGACCAGTGGCTCCCTGCGGCCGGACCCGGCGCTGGGGCCTCCCCCACAGAGAGCCCACCGCGGAGCACGCGGCCCCGCCCCCTCCCCTCACCCCAGCAAGACTTCTCTCCACTGTGGACGGGTGCCACGTGTGAGGCTCCAACTCTGTCCAGAAAACGCCTTCCGACAGGGAGTAATCACATCTTGTCCCATTCCAAAACCAAGGGGAGAGGCTCACCCCTCTCCACACACCCTCTGCTCAGGCTCTGCAGTGAGGACACGGCCCGCTGAGCTCACATTCATGGCTCTGTGGCAGCCGCCAGCAACCAGTCCCCCCAACAGCACCCCACCCTGGCACGGCTCTCGCTCTGGCTGCCTTGACCACCAGGCTCCTGACGCCAGCCCCCACACAGCCCTGACCGTCAATCCTCGGGACAACCGACGCACCCACACCTTTCCTGACGCCACAAGAAAGCCACACGGCGCTGAGCGCGCCTTCGCTGACGTGTGCCAGCCACGTGCACAGACTGTACCTCCAGCATGACCACACAGATCTGCTTAACACACTGGATGATGGCGTCCGGGGTCCCCGAGATGGTCACCGCCCGCTCCGTGGAGTTGGGCAGCATGTCCCCGGCCACCTGGACCTGGGCACCTGTGGACTGGAGACACAGGGCGTTGGAAGGGGCTGACAGCCTGGCAAGACAGGCAGCACGTCCCAGTTCCCGGGGGGCAGCCACGGCACCTTACAGAACTGCATCAGCCTGAGCACCCACCCTCCCTGTCCCCGTCGTGCCACGCCGGCCCGGACCACAGCATGGCACCTCGGGCAGGGCTCATCCAGTCCCAGCAACGCTGGGCAGGAGGCATCTAACCCGAGGAGAGTGTTTGCCTGGGGACACTGCTCTTTGCAAACACACAGAATTCCATCCCCTGTGCAGTGTTTCGGGTCACAGAGAAAGGTGGGTTCCAGTCCTGGGGAAGGAACCACGACTGGGGTGGCTGCCTCATCTGGGCAAGGGAAGGATTCAGGCTTTCCATGAAATAAGGGGAACGTGTGAAAATACAAAACCCACACCTCCTCCAAACGCCACCCAGCCAGGACAGCCTGTGGTGCGGGGCCGTCCCAGGAGACGGGGCGGATGCGGCTGAGGCAGCCCCTTGCCGGGAGCAGACAGCAGCCCACGTGGGGGCCCTCATGTGTCCCAAGCGCATGACAGGGGCCCACCCCAGCGACTGCCCCACGAGGCCCCTCCCCTAGCATGAGGCAACAGGGGCTCTGTGAATGCATGGGTCTCCCACGCGTGAGTCCTGCTTGCTGGAAGGACTGCCCCTAACCTGGGCTCCCGGCCTGGGCACCTGCAGTGACGGTGCTGGCCGTGCAGGCAGCACGGGGGATGCAGCCTGAGACCGCCCGGTCCCCCCAGCGCCCCCAGCCCCAGAGGCCCCACCCCGGAGGAGGGTCCTGTTACCTCCCTGATCTCCTTGATCTTGGAGCCACCTTTGCCGATCAGGGACCCGCACTGGCTTGCAGGCACCACCAGTCGCAGCGTCACGGGGGGCTTGCTGGTGGCAGGGCTGTTGCTCATGGAGTTGATGATGTCCTGGGGAGGCAGACAGACACGTGTGTTGGCAGAAACATCACGCCTCTGATCCTAAGTGAGCAAAGACCTAAGAACAAGAAACCATTGGGGGAAGCGGATATATCGACTGTGTCCCCTGCCCAGGGCCCACCTCAGGGAGCTCCAGAACCACTTCTCTGTCCCCTGCCCAGGACCTGCACTGTATCTGAGAGCTCCAGGGCCCCTTCCATGCACAGAGAGGGACACAGTGGACAGGCCAGGCCATGATCAGACAGCGCCAGATGTTTTCCAAATGGACGGGAGGTGCTGGCAAGAGCAACTCAGGGCATCGTGGTTAGCCTGATTCTGGGGACTCCAGTGGTTCTGTTCTTGGTCCTAAAGACTTGGTTGGCAGGTGCGGTGTAGACACATAGGTTGACACACAGGAGGTTTGAATGCTGGCCCGAGGGAAGGGGAGCTAGAGGCAGGGTGCCAGCTGGTGGTGTCTGTCCCAGCACCAGTTGAGGCAGAGTTGTTGGGGACAGGCCACGATCTCAGGGTGCAGGGTATGGCGGGTAGGAAATGGCTACTGGGTGTCCGTCCTGGGGCAGGGAGCTGTGTCACTCACTCAGCAAGGCGAGGGGCCGCTGGGGTGGTCGGGGTGGGCTTGCACCAGGCTGGCTTGGGCAGCCAGCTTGTCTGCTCTTGTTCTGTCACTCGGAAGACAGAGCTGGGCGTCAGGCACCTCAGGCATGCAGGTGGGGGCATCTGGGCTGTGAGAAGCCAGGGCCACAGAGGCCCAGAGCCCGCAGCAGAGCAGGGGCCCACGGGCTTCACGTGAGCAGTGACGTGTGTCGGCGCCCCCATGGACAGCCTGCACTGCTGTGTACCTCACCCTTTCCACGTTACAGTCTTGGGAACGCCATTTACCCCCCGCCCCAACGCGCCCTTCCTTATAGAAACATCAAGGTCACAGAAAGTGGCACATTAGCTCACCCCCAAAGTGACGTGCAGAGGTACAGATGGGGGGCTGGGGCGGTGTCCCTGGAGGGCAGACTGGCCGTGGGCCAGAGGAGGGCTGGGTGGGCAGCGGGGGCCCACGGGCTTCGAGAGGAGGCTTAGAGACAAGGAAGTCCCAGGAGAGAAGGCCCCCTGTCCTGCACCGCGTGGACACCCGACGGAGGCTGGGCTCCTGTGACTCGCAGCGCCAGGGAACGTGCGCTACCGAGGAGCACCCTGGGATTGGCCAGGGGCTGGGTCACAATGCCCGGAGGCAGCAGCCACGGGGACCGTACACGGGAGTCAGGACTTGCGCTCGTCCAGCGACCAGGCCGTGCAGGACAGGGGAGCGCCAGCTCAGCCTCTGCAGCGCTCGGCCCAGGACGGCCTGAGCTTGGCCGGTGACGGCAGCTTCCGCAGTGTTCGTCCCCTTTTCCAACTCAGGCCACCCAGCGAAAGCCAAATGTGCCCCTCAGACTGATCCCACAGGACGCCCCACTTCTAGTGAGCCTGCCCCTCGTTCCCCTCGACAGCAGCCTCCACCCCGGCTCTCGAGCCGAGGCCTTGAGAAGTGCCGGCCCCGCCGGCTCTGAGCACACAGCCTGCTCTTGTCAGCGGCCTGGTCCACCTGTCGTGCGGCCCACCCAGAGCGTCTGCACTGCCTGCCACTGGCCCAGGCCCTACGCCTCGCTGTGGCAGCTCCTGGAGCCCATGAGGATGTGCTGTCGCGGTCTGGAGCCCGCCCTCTGCGCTGGGCTCTGTGGCTGCTTGTTCTCGGTTTGGTGCTGGCTGTGTCATGGTTCCCACTTGCTCGGCATTGCTGGAGGAGTCGGGCCATTCCTCCGTCCCCTCTGCTGTCTTGCGCTGCTTTCACGCTCTATTGTCTGTGGGCTGTCGCTTGCCCTGGGGGCGAATTCCAGGCAGACGTGAGCCTTTGCCTGGGCTCACAGGCCAGCATCCACTTGGACCAACGTGGCCGTGACCAGTAAATCTGGATGGAGCTCTCCTTTGTCTCCACTTTGTGTGACAGGAGCTGGTCTGCAATGCAGACAGTGTCCCCTCTGGTCCTGCGTCTGAGGGCAGGTGGAGAGAGGCGGCCTCCCACCAGGCTGTGGACGGAGACCAAGGCGCAGTGCTACATCCCACATGCTGCCGCCGGCTCACAGTCCCGAGTCTAAACCCCTCCCCTTCCAGGAGTGCGCGCTCAGGCAGCCCTAGTCCTTACGCCTGGCCTTCTCAACGGCAGAGCCTCACCAAGGATGCTTCGGGCCTGCCGTGGCCACCTGCACTTCCTGGGAACACCTAACGAGGCACAATCCTGGTCCCAATCCCTTCCGAAGCCACCTCTTCCCTGGAGTGACCTTTGACGCCCTCTGGACCAGCAGGTGGCTGCTCTGCCTCCACCTGGACGGGACAGCACTAGGCCATAACAGTCACGCCAGGGGGTGTCACTGAAGCCCACTCCCACAGTTCTCAGGTCCTCATTCAAGACGTAGAAGACCTAAATCCCCCTGGTGATTTGGTTCTGACATTTCCTACTTGTTCAGAGAATAAGGAGGCCTGTGCAAAGAATCCCTCACTTGCTCTCAGCCTTAGCAGACTGCTACGGAGCTAATGTTCTACCTCAAACCTGAAACAGGAGGTTACCCAGCAGGCGCTGGGCTGACCTGCCCCCAGAATCCGCATGTTGAAGCCCCAACCCCCAACGCGACTGTATTTAGAGATGGGCCTTTACAGAGGTGATGAAGGTCAAATGAGGCCATTAGGGTGGTCTGACTGGTGTCCTTACAAGAAGAGAAGCTGAGGACACAGACACACACAGAGGGATGACCCTGCCAGGACACAGGGAGGAGACACCGTCTACATGCCAAGGAGAGAGGCCTCCGAGGAACCAGCCCTGCCGCTCCCTGACCTCGGGCGTCCCTCCTGCAGCACCGCGAGAATGGATGTCTGTGGATGTCTGTGGTTTGTGCCGCCCAGCGCAGCATTTTGTTATGACAGTTCTCATGACATGGTTGCCGTAACCAACCGAGCTCCCCTTCAGGACAGCATCCTCCACGTGAAGTAAAGCCAGCTGGACGGCAGAGCCTGTCACACTCACTGACGCCGTCCACTAGCCAAAGGTCAGACGGCACACGTCTGTGCAGGGGGCAGGGCTCTGGAGTGGCCATGGCTTTGGGACACTTTGGAACAAAGGGGTTCTCACCTCCGCTGGAACCCCACCTCCACGCGGCGGCGATTACAAGGGCTGCCGCTGACGTGGAGAGAGGTGACAGGGAAATGGAAGGACATGCCCAGCAGATCATCGCGCCAAACAAACCGCTGTAGCCAAGGCTACGACTCCATCTAAACCCGCAAAGGCGAAATCTCTGGAGGCAATCAAAGAGGCCATTATAAAATATCACTTAGTTCCTGATTTTAAAAAGAGAGAATGGAAAAAATCTGGCTGTACCCTTCACTCGGATGATCTCTGGGGCTCCCGAGATAGCCGGTTGGTGGCACCAGATGATTTCTCGCAGATGTTAGCCACGCCCATCCCTGAAACTACTCATCATGGAACAGACGAGTTGGTTGGTGTCTCAAATCAACATTGGTGGGAAGCTGTGCACAGACAGAGGAGCTTATTTCCAAGCCACATGTCACCCGTCAGCAACATAACCCTGGAACACTGTCAGGGTGAGACCCAGCCCAGCAGCAAAGCCTCACGGGTTCTCCAAATACCTTCAGATGGGTTTTAACCCTGGCTCTCAAATCTGCTTTATTGGGTGTCAGTTTTCAGGAAGGGTTGAAGCACATCCTTGCTTAAAAGCCACAGCCATTGATTTTGTGTTTCCAATCTGAAGCACACCAACTTCTACACCAAATGACTCAGGCTCACGCTTTGAGAACCATTATAAAAGAACTCTGTTTAAGTGGTATCTCTTACTCAAAACCTACACTGTCCTCACCATCCTCAATCTTCTGGAAAAACTGAAAGGATCAACAACATCCTTAACTTAAAATACCAAGACTTTCAGAATCCCCTGAGCTCCCTTGGCCAAAGGTGCTCCTATAGCCCTATAGCCACACAGTGCCTGCCCTCGGGACACCTCGGTTATCACCTGATGGGCTAGTGACGGGAGGGCACACTCTGAGGACGGGGGCAGAGGTGGCGCATGACTGCAAGGGACTCCCCATGCCTGCCTATCGCCAGCAGTGTCTTCCAAACATCCTCCTCGTGACCTTCACCCGGGAGATTCTCTCTATGGGAAGAGATGCCAGGGAAGAGCTGCTCCGAATCGCACTGGCAGGACCTTCCCAGGTGTGGTTAACACCTACAGCAGCAGAACTGCAGGGACGCGGTCCTCAGGGTCACGTTTCACAGCTAGAACAGCAATTCAGAATTCCCCACGATGAGAAAGCTACTGCGATAGCGGACTTAGACTGAGGGTCTTAGAGACCCTCTAGAAGCAGCCATTCTTCGGAAACAGCTGACCCGAGACCTTCATGGCAAGCTCATGACCTTGGGAGACGGCTGGCTTTGCGCCTAAGATGTCACACCAAGACCTCTGTCTAATTCCTGCTTTGTTTCCATCTGCCTGTGTATAGCCTTTCTCCCTCTCATTTCCCATAATCCTCCAGTTGTCATCCTCTCACAAGAACCCTTGTCTCAAATTTTCTTTTCACATGTGGTCACTGTTAGGTCAGAACGTGCTCATTCTAATGCCATTCTTAGATTGTCCCTGTGGCCACTGCTCTCACGCCCACCAACTCCGGGACACACCACCCACCACCTGAGCCGCAGGACAGAAAGCTCCCACAGCCCTGGTTTCCCCAAAGGAGGCCCTGGGGACACAGCCAATGGTGCTTCCCCCTCATCTACATGGACGGTCGGCCCTAAACAGACTGACCAGAGACTCTGCAGCGCCCCTTTCTCCCAGGAAAACAACCTACTAGTAAGGTCTATTTATCAGACCCCAGGTCCAGGTGATTCTAAGTCAAAATTCAACAACCTTCACAGACCCGTGGGCCACACACTCACCTCCTGGAAGAGATGACTACAGTCCAAACTGTACCCAGCTGACGTAAGGCCTGGGTGCCAACTTCACGTCCCGAGGTCTCCGTGTGCCTCTGCCAGACACTACCGCCTTTGGGGCCAGGTCGCCTGGCCCTGCTTCACCCAGACTATGGCTTGCGCACTTTAGGAATAGCATTCAGAGACCGCTCTGTATGCAGAGACCCTAACTCTACGAACCTCCACGCTGGACAGTCTGACTCAGACTCAGTTTCCCAAACGGGCCACCCTTGCTTGTTCGGTTCCCTACTGAGGGATCGCTCACCACTGTCCATGAGAACAGCCAGGCAGCATGCCCACTGGCGCAAGTCACACCAACAGGAAACACTGAGGAGCCTGTCACCAACGGTGGCACCTCCTCTGCCCTAGACGGAAGACAGACCAGTCCCCGTGCACTGGCGCCAGCTGACAGACGCCTGCCCTGCTCCCCACGTCTCACTGGCCAGTCGTGGTTGCGTCTGTGCCCCTGCGCCTGTTTCCCACCGTACCAGGATGGAGGGAACGGGCCCTCCCCCAGCTTCAGGAGAAGGCTATTCGGGTCTCTAAGGCTGACCCTCCCGGTCCATGCGATTTGTTCTCTTGGCCTGGGTAGTGGGAGCTTTGGTTTCAAAGCACCTTACAGGGTGCTTTAATCGTTCTTGTTCTTGTCATAGTGGTAACGATGCTGACTCACTGCATTCTATCCAGAGTCTTAAATATGTCCGTATACGACTTTCTCATCAGATGATCGTCATGTTGATACAGCAACAAAAAAGTCAAGAAGATCTCACAGTACAGTTGACCATGAAGACAACTGCACAATCTCTGAGTGGTGAAGATCTGGGTCTCTGGCCCTTTCTGAGCTAGCCAACCTCTTGTAAGTGAGAGAATGACTAAAAGGGGAAACTGAGAAACTGAACAACCAACAGACCGAGGCCAGGTCACCTGTGACAAGAGGACAATGGCCCCAACCTCTGCAACCACCAGCTGGGAAGCCACACCCCAGCCTCTGGGGCACTTGGCCCAGAACACCAGGGCTTGGCCAGTGCCTGCAGCTTCCTTGACGTCTGCTCCCACTGCCAAGTCAGGCGCGAGCGGAGAAAGCCCGACACACTCCTCCAGCCAGTCACGGGGACACCCCTCGCAACTGGCGGCCTGCAGCCTCCATGCCATGGCCTCCAGGGCACACCGGACCTTCCCTTTTGCCCATTCTGAAGCCCCCCCCCGCCTGCCAGGAGTCTCTGCCAGACACAGCGGGGGCCGCCCCCGCAGCAGCTCTGCACCAGCCTCTGCGTGCTGCCACCTGGAGGCTTTGCTTACCCGGCACTCTGCCCCATCACTCGATGCTCACCCCTCTAGGACACGAAATGCATCTCTAAATAACTTCTGGCAATTTTGAAAAATTGGAAACACATAAAAACACTAAGATTTAACTCACTGACAGAGCTACACAGCAGTGCCGCGTACATACATGCATGTGCATCCGTGCGCGTGCGCACGCCTGGGTCTCCACCTGTACCTGTCCGTGTCTCAGCCAAGCCACACACGCTGTCCCGGGGACGGCAGCGGCTGGGTGGCGTGCATCTGAGGACCAGGCCGCGCCAGCCAGGGCTTTGTGGGGGATGTGGGTGTTGCTTGAGGGTCCCTGTGTGCCCTGGTCGGAGGCATGGGGTGTCCTGGGGCTGAGCTGGGTGGCCTGGGCAGGGTCTGCGGAGCGGGAGTAAGGCGGCTTCTCCAGCACACCTGCTGGGGGTGGCTGCCATAGACACAGAGAGGGACGCAGCCCTGCCCAGGCGGACCAGAGGGGGCAGAGTCCCTGGGGGGCAGAGGTGAGCGGGGCTGACGCATGGCGGAGGGACCCAGTGGGGGCCTCACCTCCTCAAACTTGTATGCGATCATGGCAAAGGCCTTGAAGATGGCGTCTGTGGGGCCCGTGATGGTCACGATTCTCTCTGGGCAGTTCCCCTCCGAGATGTTGATCCTCGCAGCACTCTGCAGCCAGAGCAGGGAAACCAGCACCAGGTTAGAGCCACGCCAGCAGCCCGGGCTCTCTGTCTGCCGACCACAGTCGACGCAGCCACGTGCACCTGGCCCTCGACTGCAAACCGCACCACTAGACAGTCAGGTTCTCCCCAGTAACCTCCCTTACGGTGAGATTTTAACTGGCAAAGAAAATCCAAGTGATGCCCTCCCCACACACGGAGGCACAGGAGGCCCGAACCGCCGCGTGCGCAGCGCGACAGTGAGGAGGCTCACGCCAGCCCTGTGCTGAGACCCGCCTGCCCGTGCAGGGCCCGGAGGGCAGCGGGCAGAGCCGCCACGGCACACACACGTGGTGTGGGTCACGCAGGCCACACTCACCTCCTCACGCATCTTCTTCACTGTCTCTCCTTTCTGGAATAAAGATTTAGACAACAAGGAAAAGGTCACTCGCGGCTGCACTGACGGCACGCACGGGGCTTGGCGCGGCCCACGTGGTACCGGGAGCTGCCACCATGTGCCCGTAGGGCCTCCACCTCCCCACTAAGCAGCCGACTCCATACCCTCCACAAGCTGGAGGGCATTTCAGGTAAGGAAGCAGAGGCGCAGGACCCCAGTCCTCACCCAGGGCACACGGCCGGCAGGCCAGGCTCTGCCCCGACTCAGCTCACCACCTGCGTGCCCTCGGGCGCCTGACCCCCAGACGCGCCTTCTGAAGCTCTCCTGAGAAAGGGCCAGGGCAGGGCCATGGGAGCCCCTCCCCTGCAGTGCAGGGGTGGAGGGGATGGGGCACAGGGACCCCCAGGGATGGGCACGGTGCAACAAGACAGGGAGGCAGCGTGTCTCCCTCGGCCTCTCTTCCCCAAATGGGCTCTTGGCCCACCAGGGAAACTTGAGGCAGACTTGAAGCCCTCCGCTGTCACTCGTGGGGCCGCTCAGTAACGGGGCCCGTGGAGTACGCGGGCGCATGCTCCTTACCGGGGTCTGGGGCCCAGGAAGGAGGGCTGGCCACCAAGGCAGCGGGCGGAAGTCTTTCTAGGACAGGGCCTAGGGAGAGCCCGCCCCCTCAGCTCCCACAGACCCGGGGACCAGCTTGCACAAGGCGCCCCGACAGGGCCGCGTGGTAGCCCCCGGGCCCTGACTTCATGGACGCAGTGCCGCACACCCGCTGGGTGCCATCCTGCGCCGGGCAGCTGCTGTCCTCTTTGTCCCCTTACAGAGACCCTGAGAGAGGCAGAGTTTGTTCAGTAATTACCTTCCCGATGATGCTTCCGACTTCCTGCAGGAAAAAATCACAAAAACATGCTGTCAGAGCAGAAGGAGGAAAAGAATCCGGCACAGACCCTGTGAAACCCATCTACCTTCCCCAGGTGAGCGAGGGGAGAATTCAGACCCTGCCAGGGAAGCCCACAGTCAGGCTGTCCACAAAGAGGCCCCGCGCCCGAGGCTGCCTCTGCGCCCGCCTGACCAAGGCCCGCGGCCCAGGAGAATGGCTGCTTTCCAGAGAGAGGGTTCCGGAGGCATCACTCATGCACCTGAGGCCTCCAGGAAACCCTGCAAGAAACAGATGAAAAATAAAATTTCTCCCAATTTTGTGACTTAAAGAAAATTTAGCACTGCTATTGCTATGTGACTTATTTTTAAAAGGTGGAATATCGAAAGTAACACTGGAACACGCTGCCACAGTTCTAGTTCTAAAGTCGAGCCCGAGACAGTTTGGGGACATACACCAGGGGGTCAAGGGTCTCCCTGCCTGGCAGTGGGACGGGACCAGCCAGGGTCCTACCATGGCAGTCGCTCGAGGCTGGGCCAGCCTGGCTCTAGTCACAGGGAGGACGTCTTTCAAAATCTGAGTCGCTTCCTCATTACAACGAAGTTCTGAGCAATTATTACTATCACGGTCCTTGTGACGGCCTTGGTCTCTGCCAGTGCTGCCCAGAAGGGCGTGCGTGGGGAACAGTGTGAGCAAACGGTCCCTGTCTGTAGGGCACCCGCCCCCAGGGAGCGTCTGGTGGCGGCCTGGCTGCTGGGACCCTGCGCTTGGCCGCACAGAGAACCCCGTCTGTGGGGCCCACTGGCTTCCGGCACCCGCCAGGGAGGGGGCAGGTCATCCTCTCTCCATCAAGACACGGGAGTTCTGGGAGGAGGCTGTGTCTTCTGGAAGCGTAGGATGTGCCTGTGTACGGGCACTGGAGCCCAGGACCTCTGGCAGCCTCCCCAGGCGGGAGGACACACAGACACGGGGGTCGGAGTCCTCGCGGGACAGAGCCCAGCCAGAAGGAACCGGGCCGACCCTGTGCGGCTGGACGGGAAGTGGAGGTGTGACCTCGCGGTGCTCAGAACAGAGAGGAGTGTGGAAATGTCGCATAGTGCGCACGGCACAAACCCGCCTTCCTGAGCTGCCTAGGGCTGCGCGGTTGGGCGCTCAGAGCACTCCTAGTGCACGCATCTTGGCTTCCAAAGCGCCGTCCTCTGCCTGAAGGAGTCGGGGTTCTTTGGAGAAGTGGCTGATGCCAGGACTGGGGCAGGGAGGACAGGATGGCCCGAGTGGCGTGTCGTACGAAGGGGAAGGGGGTGCCATGAGGAAACACTCGGGAGCTGGCCAGCCAGGACAGCGTGGGGGTCAGGAGAGGTCACGCAGCCCCAGCATGAAGGAACGAATGAATGAATGCCCTGAAAGTCTGACGACAAGTGGGACACGGACACAGCTGAAAGCACCTCCCAGCCCAGCGTTCTAAGTGCAGGGGAAGAAGGGCAGCTCCAGGTGGAGCCCCGAGCGTCCTGCGACCGGAGGCTGTGGCGATGCACCTGCCACGGCAAGGAGACTTCAGACAGGGCCAGAGCGGAGGACGTGCCACAAAACACTGGCAGAAACTCGGGGACAGTCAAACCCCGGGGCAGTTTCCCCAGACTGAGGGACAGGAATGCTGCCCGTGGCTCCGCCCTGGGGCGCCCTGTGGTCAAGGGCAGCGTCTGGATGGCTGGGGAGACCCTAGCAGGGTCCTGGGGGGAGGTGTGGGGACGCACCCGTGGTGACCTGCCACCGGTGGCTGTGTGAGGTGACGCAGGAGAAGCCCCATTTGCAGAAAGTGCACACAAGGCGTCCAGTGACGAGGAAGTGTCAGGCTGGTGACTCAGTCTCCATTGGTTCCGGGGAACGTAACTGGGGTTGCATTTGCAACTGCTTTGTCAGTTTGAGAGTAAACGAAAATGACACATCGCAGGCCCCGGCGCGGCAGCCCCCCGCCTCCCGCCTGTACCTTTCCGTGCATCAGCAGGCGGATCGTCAGCGTCACGTTCAGGCCGCCTTCTGAGACCTTGGACTCCATCTTTCTCCCAAAATGCGGCTGGGGGTGGTGGCTTAAGGCGCTGAGGGCGCTGTGAGGGAGGACAGACGGGGTCCAGAAGGCGTCACCTGGAGAGAGAAGGTGCGGCTGCTGCGACCCAAGGACAGTCTCCGCAATCCTGGAGACCAGGGCTGAGCTGGCCGCCCGGCCCTCGGGCTGCCCTGGCGGGAGAGGGGTGGGGCCGCCATCACCACCACGTGCTGGCCAGGCTGGGGAAAGCCCCCAGGGCTGACTGGCCACGGGACCCTGGGCAGGACCCTCCAGCCTGCCTGAGTGTCGCACCTGCCAAGAGGGCCACGGGAGTGCCTCTCAGGGGAGCTGGGGCGTGAGGGGTCACCCGAGAGAAGCGCCGCACGTGTGCACAGAGCCAGCGCCGTGCCAACTCCATCCTCCCACCTCCTGGCACAGCCCCGAGCAGCCCCCCGAGCAGAAGCCCCTGGGTGAGCCTTGCTTCGGCCTGAGGAGGCCGGGGAAGCACAGGTGCCCGTGTTCCCCGCACCCAGAGCCAGCGGTGCCCGGCAACCTCATCTCTGACGCGGATTCCGTCTGTCAACTAACTGCCAGACAGCCGAGTGAGCCCCGTGTAAAGTGGTCAGAAAACGCCTTCTGCACAAGTAACACTGGTCATATCGCTTCTGTGGACAGGCATGTGGCGAGCTGGCTCAGCCCCCTGGGCAAAATTAAGGCTTCATTTTATGATCTATAAGCAAAGAATGATTGTAGGTAGTAGAACTGAAGTGTCCGTGGGAAAGCGAACTGGTGACTTGGTGGCAGCTGCCTCGGCGGCCTGGTCTGTACAGTGCTGGGCTCTGCAGACCCCACTCAAGGCGTCTGGACACACAGGGCCCTCCTGCAGCCCCCTTCTCTTGAGCCTTCTCCAGGGGGCCAGATGCAGAGCACAGGTCACCCCCATGGTGGCGTGCAGAGAAAAGCGGGCGCCCTTGTAGGAGCCGCACTCACGCCCAGAGGATGAGAAGAAGGAGGCGAAGGTGGCGGAGACTGACAGTGCGGGCGGAGCGGGGTCAGCAGGGCCCTCAGCACCGAGGGGGCAAGAGGTGGGGGCCTCGGGCACGCTGCCCGGGAGATGGAGGCTCCCCCGCCCCTGGCTGTGCGCAGGAGTCCCCAGGTGGCTCCGTGTCTGGCAGCAGAGAGCGGGGGAAGGAGGGCAGGGCACAGGACGTGGCAGGGGTGTGAGCAGGCCCACAGCACCTGGAGACGTGTGGGTCACGGAGGGGTGGCCACTTGGTGGGCAGCAGTGGGCCGGGTTCCACGTGGCCCAGGACCCGGCATCAGGCAGCTCAGGGCAGAGACTGGACAGGCCTCAGGTGCTCCATTCACCTGCCCAGGTGCGCACCTAAGAGGTGGGCGAGCCATGGGAGTGGGAAGGAGCCGGGAGAGCTCCGCGCACACAGTCCACGCTTAGTCCATCACCGAATGGGAACGTGGCCCCAGGCCTGGGCGACCAGCCCTGCAGGAGCACAGTCCCGTGGAGCTCGCCCGTGCTCCTCCCCGTGACCCCTCCCAGGACCCCTCCCCGTAGCCAGGCTGCTCCATGCTCCCTTGGATCTCACCTGCACTGATGAGGGGCTTGAGCCCCACACGGAAGAGACTATGGGTTAAAAGTTGGGGCAAAAAAAGTTTTTCCTCATCAAAATATTTTAGCTACGAAATATGCTAAAAGAAAAACACAAAGCACAGAAACAAAGTATATTCCAATCCCCCACATGACGTGTGTGAGGAAAAATCTGCTAAAAGCACCCACTGGCGACTGACGCACAAAAATGACAGCTACCGATGTGTTTCTGCATTAATGAAACAACGTGCTATCATACACTCGCGTTTCTAAAACTGCGTTTACAGGAAACTTCATCAACAAACTCAAATTACTAGTTCTCATTACTGTTTGTAATGAAATGACACTTTGTGAATAACAATTTTAACATAGTATTTCACAAGGATCTTACACAGCAAAGTTTTAAAAACAATCCTCACATACTAACGTTCTCTCTCTCCACTGCCCAGCTCCGTGGCTGCCAGCTATGTGTGGCTATTTACATTTAAAACTCAAACGTCACCAGCCACGTTTTTCGAGCTAAACAAATAGCCTCACGTGGGTGGCTGCTGCCATCTGGAAAAGCACAGAGACCGTTTCTGTCCCTGCAGAAAGTTCTGGTGGGCGGTGCAGCTTACATAGCCACCTCCCTACGTCTGGCTCTAAGAACTCAGAAAGGAGAGGACACCTAGTTCAAATGCCCGGCGTGGCACCAAGTGACCACCACGGTGCCTAAGCAGACGCTGCAACGAGCCCGGCGGAGCCCTTCTGTCTGCCGGGCTGACTCTGCAGCACCAACGCACTGATCACGCTGAGGCCAGCCCAGCGCTCTGCGCTTCCTTTCTAATTAAAACACCTCCCCTCTGTCAGGGACAGCAGGGCCCTGCAGCGTCTGTTATGTAAATGCTTCCAACCCAGGGAGGAGAAAGTGGGTCAGCTCCTGCTAGGGGTGCTGTGGGCTCTAGGCTGTCAGCAGCCATCAGTCACACAGGCCAGTGGGCGCACAGTGGAGCGGCTGGAGCAAGGGCAGCCCTGGGGAGGGGTGGAGGTCACCGTGACTCGGGACCCTGGGCCTGGGAACCCTCCCTGTTCAGCCTGCTGCCCCCAGCTGATGATGACCAGCCACTGTCTGTCCATGGGGCAGCTTGAGGGGTGTGGGGACCGGGTTCGAGTGGCCCATTCTCTGGCCCATCCAAGGCCCCTCCCTCTGTTCTCCTCAGGGCGGCGGATTTAATACATTTTTAATTCCTTTAATGGGCGGAGAGGAGAGACAGGCCTGGCCACCCCGTGGTGCCTGGGGCCCGCCCCCTTCCACAGGGAGCCTGTCCGGGTGGAGGTTTAAATGCCACTGCGTGAGGACACCGTGCAGATGTGCCCCAGCCCAGAACACGCCTGTACCCTGGACTCCTGGGGCAGCAGGTTCCAACAGACACCCACGCGTGAGAAGTACGACGAACGCAACTCCGGCCCACCCTATCCCATCCCTACAAATCCCAGCCGCTCACCTGCAGCCAGGATGTGGAATCTGAGCCCTTCCCGCCCCTCCGGCCCACCAGGTCCCAGGCTCCTGCCCACCCCCCATCTCGGGGGCCAGTGACCCTCCAACCAGCACACAGATGCCCACCCTCTTGAAAGCCTCTCCCCGGCCTCCTGTTCTCTGAGTTTAGCCCAAGTCTACAGCCCTGCCCCAGCTGACACGGGCCCTAGGGGTGAGAGCCCCACCGCATCCCCCCAAGACCCCAGCCGGCACCCTCCTCACAGCCGCACCGCATCATGGCACCTTCTCCAGGGGACGTCCCTGTTAACCACCACCCCCCATTTCATACACAGTCCTGGAGCCGAGCTCCCGGGCAGGGGGCAGTCCCGGCACCCACAGTGGGGACGGCCACTCAACAAACGAGATCAAGGTGAATGGACGGAGCGAAAGTGCCACGAAGACGACACACGTAAGACAGGACAGAGGCTGGATGCGGGGCAGGCCTGGGGCCTCTGAGGGACCCACCCAGCTCAGGGCGCCTGGCATGGCAGCTAGGGCAAAGGCCCCGAGGTGCAGATGCCTTCGAGGAGGGGCCCAGCGTTGGGTCAGCCCTTGCGAGACGCCCAGCGGCCTCCTTCCCCTCCTGGCTCCGCCCAACGCACACGGCAGGTGGGCTCTGCCTCAGGGCTGCTCCCGGGCAGCTGCAGGCTGGGGCGGAAGCCCGTGGCACACAGAAGAGCTCAGACTGCCCTGGGGAGGGGACGGGCACCCAGCAGCCACACGGACTGATCTGCATTTCATCCTCGTTGTATGTGACATGTTTCATGCCTTTTAAAGTTGTAGTCAATTAATAAATTGTACACACTGAAGGCTACAACACCATAGGCCTTGCCCCCTCCACACACACACCGGGACCCAGGACAGCAGCTCTTGGAAGTGTTCACGCTGCTGCCCGCACAGCCCTGTCCCCTGCCATCTTCCCTCCCGCTCTACCCACCACATCCAGGACTTTCTAGAAGTTTATATAAATGGAATCACGTGGTATTTATTCTTTTTTATCTGGCTGCTTTTACGCAGTGTTTCCTGAAGATGTGTCCGTGTTGCTGAATGTATCTACAGGTCATTTCTTCTCATCGTGAAGCAGAATTCCACCCTCCGAATAAACCACAGTTCGTTTTTCCATTCGCCCACTGAAGAGCATCTGGATTGTTTGCAGTTCGGGGTTACGATGAATAAAGCTGCTACGAACGTGCGCGCGTCATCCTTCGTGTGGACACGTGCTTTCACGTCCTGCGGGTAAACACCCAGGAGCGGAGCAGTTGGACCATGTGGTGGGTACATGCTGGCCTTTTAAAGAAACTGTCACACGCTCTCGCAAGGTGGCTGTGTTGTTTCACACTCTTGTCAGCAGTGCACAGGAGTTCTGGTTCCCCCATAGCCTCGCCCACGCTTGCCATGGCCAGCCTCTCACTTCAGCCACCCTAGCAGTTGCGTGGGTGGCACCCTGACACCCAGTTTCAGGGTCAGCGGGCTGTAGGAACGACATGACCTGGGACAGGAGCCTCAGCACGGTCGCCCGCATTTCTCGTGCTGGCCTTTGGGCCTGTCTACTCCACCCTCTCCTGTGGCAGAAGAGCCTGGTACGTGGCTGCACCCCAGCCCGGGTCGGGACAAACTCAGTCCGGCGCCCAGAGGAAGGGCTCTTGCTGTCTGGGGCAGGTCATGTGGCCCACACAGCACAGGCAGCCCCCGCACCCTGCTGCCCGTTTCCAGAGGAAAGCGGGCCACAGTGGGTAAGGTGAGGGGCGGGGAGAGCGTGTGAGGGGAGGGGTGGGCAGAGTGTGTGAGGGGTGGGGAGAGCGTGTGCGGGGAGGGGCGGGGAGAGCGTGTGAGGGGAGGGGTGGGCAGAGTGTGTGAGGGGTGGGGAGAGCGTGTGCGGGGAGGGGCGGGGAGAGCGTGTGAGGGGAGGGGTGGGGGAGAGTGTGCGAGGTCAGGGGTGGGCAGAGTGTTAGCTGTTTTGCATGATGGTGGAAAC